AGTTATACAAATCATGGACAAATGTCTAGACCTATAAAAATAATTATCTAAATCAATAAATTGACATATTCATTAAAGTGCATAAATAAATAAATAAAAATTACACAAACTAATATTAACTAGACTAAAACTAACTAATAGTAATTGTTGTTGAATGAGCTCTCATAAACGTTTATTTTCCAGTCATGTAACAATCGGAATAGCGTATATTGCCTAAACTGGCATTCGATCATAGAGCTGTTAAGAACCACAAGATTCACTTAAAAAAGTAAGAAACTTAAATCTAAGTTTTAGAAAAAGGTAAAATTCAGAAAAAAAGAAAAGAAAAACACAGATTTGCCATTAAAATGCAGAGCTAGTGGAGATCAGAGATTGGTAAAGGTTTATCGGTCACGATTAATTCTGAAACACGGACCAAATGATTCAACATCATATCTCCTCCAATAACACCGAATAGTTCTTTAAAAACCAAAACAGAAACAGATACTATGAAACGTATGAACAGTTGATCTATGAAGAGATTAACAGGGAAAGATTATAAAAAAAAAAAAAAAAACAAAAAAACAAAAACAAAAACGATTTTCCAAAATAAGTAAAGAAAAACAATCGAAATAACAAAAACAGCAAGAAACTATATTTCAGGAACATAAATTTCAATATTTCTAACAAACATGATTTATTTGGATGAGGGGTGCCGGGTGTGAATGAAATGAGAGACTGATTTTCGAACATATAAATATATGTAGAAAGTAAGAAACCCTAAATTGAACGGCGATGGCCTCCATGTTTGTAGGCTGATGATAAAAGATTGTAGAACTTGCAAAGCCCGTTGGACGTTTATAACTGTGGGCTGATCCGTAACCTTGCTAACCAATATTTCCAAAAGAGCCCACTTTATAAGCTGTGTGATTGTAATTACCTAAATAAGTAAATAATTATTCAATTAGATAGCATATTACAATTATTAGATTATTAGTAATTATTAGATTATCAGGAAGACTTATTATGCTAGTTAGCAACACAAAACTCGTATTGTTTCACATGTAATTTTTATTTTTCCACATGTAATTTTCTTATTTTTTTCATAATAAGTTATTGATTCCTTTCGATAATTGACAGAATATCATAATAAATGCAAAATCAATCTTCACATAAATCAAAATAAATGCTATAAATAATGACAACTCGGAAATTACTTCCTTTCTATTGTAAATCCATAAATTCAGTCATTCATAAAAGCATTCCAAAGGCGTCAATGTCGGTTTCTTATAGTTATGTTCTTTATACGATTTCTAATATTGTATCAATCATAGAAAGTCAAAGAAACGATTTCTCATATACTCTAACCATTTCCAACATTGTGCATTTTTCCTGTGAGTATCAGGATTACTTTGTATTATTTTGAAGTCGTATCTCCTACTTAATCATCATCGTCAACTGTAACATCTAAAGAAGGTTAGAAATCTTAATTCCTCGGTATTTATATCACAATAATAGAATGAAACAATGATAATATATACGATAACAACTTGATGATTGCAAGATATTTGACTGAAATCTTTCTGAATCTTTCCTCACTCTCATCTTTTATGCGATTACATATACACATCCATTATTACATACGCCTTTTATCTAGGGTTTTTATTGATTTGAATGGTTTTTAGATTTTAAAATGAGGGTGAAAGTGGCTTCTGTTTCTCGAAGTGGTATTTCTTGAATTGTTTTGCATTGTAGAAGTTGCCATGATTTTAGAATTGTGTTGATTTCATGCCCTAATTTTCACTCTCAATTCCGATTTGAAGGTAAGCAACAGTTCTATCATTATTTTGAACCTTTTCTTTGAGTTTGTTGATGATCATTTTGACCATGGATTGATTTTTGTTTTTCTTTGTATAACGTGCAATGATTTTAGAACCTATGACTATTTGAAGACATTATCATCACTCTTGATCATGATTTCAAGGCAATCAATGGTTCTTTTTTTCGTTCACTGTAAATATTTTGTTCCAATAGTATTTGTTTTGAGTATTCAACATAATAGTTTGATGTTTTTGTTAGTTTCTAAGAATTAATTTTGTAGTGACATATTATTAGTTTACCCTTACATCGTACACACACATACCCAAAGTGGGAATGACCAAATAGCCCCTAAACTGAACCCATACACTTCCATTTTTCTTATATCACAAACACACACACACACATCAGGTAATTATTTACTATTTAAACCATTTTGTCTATTTCCAGGAATTTGCGACTTCAAACCGCCCAACATCAAATGTTTTTTGTTTCTCAAGTTCGTTTCACTTAACCTCTAATTCTTGGATTCAAAATGAACTTTAAAACTGTGTTCAAAACCGTGTTGATCAATTTGATTTTTTTTCTTAAAGTAATGGATTGGTTAAACAAAGTTATGTATGTATATCACTACTATTTTCTACCACTGATTGGTTAAAAAATGGTGTTTATGTGATGTGGGTAACAAATCCGAAAAATTAAGAATAAAATAGAAAAATGATATTTCTGGAATGTTGACATTGGTATTATTGAATGGGATAAAAGTTGTTGCAGTTTTTGATAAAAGATGGATAAAATTGACCATGAGTTTTGAAAACTAAAATGTCCCTCAACGTTTTTAATTAACTTAATTATAGGTATACAAATCAGGATTTGTTACTTTAATCTTTTTTTTTTTTGCTTGCTAATGTTAAAACAAAAAAGTTGTATCCATTTATATAATTTAAATTGATTTTTTTATTTGTTTTAAAATAAAATGACTATATGCCATTTACAATTTGATCCTATAATAATTTATGTATGCATTTTCATCAAATTAACTATTCAAATGCATATGCGAGGACACTAATTCGGATTTTATCAGTTGTTTAGTATGATATATTATAAAAATGTAGATTAGTGTAACATAAATGGGGCCTCAAAGTGGGTGAGTCAGAGGTCATATATATAAATGAAAGAATTGTTTGAAAAGAAAATAAGTTTATGGGATAAAATGGTCTAGCTTTTCGGATGGTTCAAATAATTTATTTCAAACTCCGGCGTTGCGGGTGTTGGAAGGTATTTTTTAGCCTCTTATTAAAAAACAGGAAATAGCAACAAACTATACAATGATTTACATATAGTGGCTCTAATTTTTCCTATGTTCCTATAGGAAAAAGTAATGTTAAATGTTTGGTAATTGTAGAAGGTACAAAAATGAATGTCAATTGGTTTCACAAAAGGAAAGTAAAGAATGGAATGGAATTGAAACGAATGGAATGGAGTTACTCAACATCATTATCAGGCATCTTGTAATCCCTGGATCACAAAAAGCCATTGTTTTGTTGCTGCAAATGTAAGAAGTAAAACATGTATAAAGACCATTCCTAAAAATTTATAACACATGAATCTTGTAAAAGTTAATTAGAATGATAAAATTGGACGGAATTATAAAGTTAATACAAACAATAATCCAATGAAACTCCCCGGATATCATCATCCTGTTACGTTTGTTGTAAAGGCTTTACCCAATCTTCTTATGAAAAATCCATTGAATCTCTTTTTATATGTATCTGCGATTCAACAACATACAAATCCATTAGAAAAATAATATAGGAAAACCCATTGATCAAATTCCCTCTTATTGGAAAAGTAAGAAATAATCACTAAAAACAAAACTTAGAATTTACCTCAAAAGATTTTGATTTGTAGTCTGTGGAAAAAAACTAAAAACCAAAATACAGGGGCAAATTTGTCCATTTGATTTCCCAAGCCAAAGGGCAAAGACTGGCACATAAACTACCAGCTTAGAATCAAATACTCAAAATTTAGCCATTCAGCTTAATAACATCGAATAATCCACAAATTTACAACACTAAAAAAGCGGTTTAATCAGTTTTTATTCTAAAAAACAATAAGATTAAAACATAATTATAAATATAGATTTTGAAAACAGAGAGCTTACTACTGTCGGGACTGCCAAAATTTGACAGTTTATCTTTCTTAGTGACGTAGCCAATGCAGGATACATGTGGAACCCACTCTGCTCAAAACAAAATTAGAAAACAATAAAAACGAAAGTAGAAAATTCGTTAAAACAACTAAAGCATGTTCAACATAGCATAAGTACAGCAGGAACCTACAAACATGACTTAAAGTTCCAACAGAAGAAGCATGGCTTTTATTGACAAAACCCACATCAAAGTAATAACAATCATCAACCTATATAAATTTTATGCAACTGAACCTAATTTCTAAAAAATAGAATGCTATAAAAGATGTTTTTTTTACTGCTGCCCAGTGAATAGGTACCAAAGGCTCAAGGTTTCAACATTAGGTTGCAACTTACAATACATGTAAGTAATCATCTGAGACTAACGATATGTTGTTATTTAATGAACACACCTGGAAAAAAAATTAGAAAGAGAAATCATTTTCAATGGAGAAAAAAATAACAACAATAAAGAAGCTTGCATGACATAAATGTATTACCTGTTAAATGTCTAATACAGAAGTAGCAAATCATAACAGAAACACTAATCTTGTTTCAAAAAATAAAGCCTAATTGACAGAATCACAGTTTTAATAAAAACATTAAGATTCGTTTCTATTCTATTAGTGCTCCACAGTCATATGAAAACCTTTTGATTCTCAACAATCCTTCAATTAGAGTGTTTCAAATTTAAGACATAAATTCAAGTCCAATCACTGGTCAACATAATACTGGACCATAGAAAATGCAGTTAGCTATGAGTAAACATGAGCTGATAAAAGAAAACTTCAACTTACTTGAGGCTATAAGAAAGTAAGCTTTCGTCAAGCTCATTCAAGAATATCTATACATATGAGTATATGACTATTCCACCAGATCCATTAAACCCAAATAAATTTCTTCAAAAAGACCTAAAATGAAAGAGTGAGAAAAAAAAACAATAGAAAAGCATATAATGAGAAAAATTCTATAAATGGTATTCGTCTTTACTTCCAAGAAATCAGATTTTTTCTTATTCTTCCTCAATCTGAAACAGAATAAAGATTCTGTAAAAAGGTTTTGGGTTTAATTCACGGAAACATAGATGAAACCTCAAAGCTGAAACGTGAAAGAGGTCTTGGACTTGAATCAAAGTGATAGAGATAGATCGAACCGTAGATGCGTTGCTGCTAAGGTTTATGAGAATGAGCTGTTTGCTCAATCGGCGTCGCAATTCGTCGGTTTGATTTGAGAGAGGAAAAGAAATGAAGAAAATGAGAAAAATTGGGTGTTCTCTACAAAAGGAATCGGCAACCGACGTCAATTTGGATCCACCGTTCTTCCTCCAATCTCTCCTGACGGGAAAATAAAATGAGAAACAGTAAGACATCGCCATTCCTTCCACTGTCGATGAGTTTAGGGCTTTCTTTGGTAGCGATGGTTTTCCTGTTAACCGATTGAGAAGAAGAAGCATTAGGCGGGGTGAGAGAAGCAAATAAAAGGTGGAGGAACGACTACCGCAGAGTGAACTTGATTCACTTCTTTGTCGATCACTTCGTCGCACCTTACAAATCCATCCGCCCGGGGACATACAGAATGCGAGGACTGATAGGTGAGGCGGTGATTATCCAGATGGGAGAAAGAAATGGCAAGCTCCAAAACGGGGCAAAAACCGGGGACTATTATACCGGTGGGAACCATCCAGAATGAAAGAGAAAGAAAGAGATAAAAGGGAAGGCGGTGAGGAACTGAGAAAGAAACGTGGAAGAATAAGAAGCTGAGTAGGCAGTAACATTAGACGTAGCTGTGACACATGTAATCCATTATAGAGATTAAAAATAGATAAATAAACAAAGAAAAAAAATAAACAGAAAAAAAAAATCAGCCAATGGGAGCAATGTACTGTTCATCATGTAGTTCTAAATTAGTATATATATAAATAATTCTTGTGGTTATAGAAGGTAGTGAACATAATAAGAAAAAAACCCATAACTACAAATTTTAATTTACCGTTGATAAAAGCAAGAACTCAACCAGTAGTAATGGAAACCTTATAATTGCACGACATGAAACCTGCACATTTGAAACTTGAATATTTTGAGGTTGAATACAACAAATAGCAACATACGTTCATTTATTACTTATTATAGTGCTCTAGATTCAATTTTCCTATTGGGTGGTTGTACTTTGAAAAATCTACCAATTATAACATGTGACACAATCCAATTATTTAAGATTTTAAATCCTTTAATTTTCAATTTTTTTAACATATTAAAAAATCTTTCAAAACTTAACCCTAAAACAAAGTCATGCTAAAAATATCGTCAGTAAAAGCAACTCCAATAGTAAACATATGCTATGATGCGTTAAAAATAAAAGTTGGTTGTCATTATGTGTTAAAAACGAAATTAGGAAGTTATTATGGATTAAAAATGAAAATAGTTTGTTATTATGGATTAAAAATAAAAGTAGACTACTATTATGGTGTTTAAATGAAAGCAAAATGTTATTATGGGTTAAAAATTAAAGTATGTTTTGTCCGGTAATTTATGTTAATTTGTTTGTCGTGCAAGGTTACCGTAGCCTTGCCAAATTGTAGAAGAACCTTTTTATGTCTTTGCACTACCTACCCGAAGAATCTTTCCCCTTATTTTTTCGTCTTCCCAAATTCAAGTTTCGGTGCATCGTACATATTTTTGACCTAATCGTATGTTATTTGCGATTTAGATGACTAATAATAACACATGATTCTATGTAAATGATATACAGTTATGTTGAAATGGCTACAATTATTCAGTTACAAAAGCATTTTTCCTTGCTTTTATGTTGACATTCTTTAATGCATTTGATGTTCCTATATTTTGGCATATCCTATTGTTCTATTAGATTGTGCTTTTTGTTGTAGCAACGAGGAAACATATAAGACATATGATACAATATAGATATGTACCCTACTTTTTTACAAAAAAGGTAACAAAATTACACATAAACTTCTCAAATTAATCCATTATTTTGGTCTAATAGATGCATTTTATATGTTTCTAATGTTACACATGAAGGAAAAAAGAAGTGGTTGTCTGGTTGATGATGTATCCCCTCTTACAAGTTGAATCTTCATCACTTCATTAGTCACATCTGTTGCATATTACTGGTACATTGAAGCAATTTAAATGATTAATATTAGTTATTATAATGATTTAATTAACTAAATTTGCTATACATTACAATCTTGCAGTATTGAAAAACAAATTGTTAGTTGCCTTATTGAATTTCTTATTACTTGTCACGATAATTGTTATAACGATTTGTGAACACGGTATGATCAGACTGCTTTTCCATTTTTGAAACATTATAATTTGGGAAAAGTGTACGGAATAATAACATGATTTCGTTCGATTCATATTAAATTACAACAATGGTCATTGGCAATTAAAAGTTTTCTAAAAAAGGTACCTAAGTACACAAATTGCATTTTGTCCATAATTCGGGTAAATGTAAGAAAAACCAATAAACTTTCAATTATACTCCATTATAACAACATTCTTTCATTGTATGGTTGTGAGAGTTAATGATTCAGTCACGATTGCTCAACCTAGAGACTGCAAACAACTTCGTCAGTTAATTAGCTGGGAGGGGATCCCGAACCAACGCTGTGATGATAAAGTCATACATATTCTTGAGATAGTATGTTATAAGTCGAAATGAGACACTATAGAATGTGTGAATGATTGGGTACCTCATTAAGCGATTCTTGTTACTTATTTATAGTCAATGTTAGGAGGTTACGACCTCTTCTTGTACCGAGCAGGTTTGCCATCATGTTGCATTAATGGTCATATGCCCGAAGGTACACTTTTGTGTACTTACTAGCCGTTTAACAGTTGTTTCTCGTTGGTCAAAGGATCTATCAATCATATGTCGTGGTATAGGTTGTTTACTTTGAGTTCCAATGTACTATGATACTGTTGTGAGTTATCTTGTACCTTAGTCGTTACTTTCTATAGTTCGGTACTCATGCATAATTCGACATGCATCTAGTTCGGTATATATCTGGTCCGATAGATACCTAGTCCGGTATATACCTGGTTCGGTGTATACCTGGTCCAGTATATACCTAGTTCGGCATAGTGAGGGTATGAACGTAGCTTCAAGCTAGACTATACCCTATTAAGTCCCCTATTTTGGATTGTTACTTTTCTTCCAAAAGCAACAATTCAAATTTAAAAACCTTACAAGGTAACTATTGTAATCAGATAAGCATAGATACATGAATTAAATTATGATGTGACGGTTCTGCCACTCTTAGTGTTCATCATTGCCTATAACTGTCTATTCAGTTCTTTTCCATTTAAAGGGTCTATAGTGTAAAACTGCCACTTTGTCTCCTGCATAAATGTAGCTTTACTAATTCCCTATAGATACCCTTCTTGCCTGGTTATTTTCTTCATCGCTTGTCATTACCTTCAAATTACGAAAAATCATTTGCTTTGCAATGCTGTGTTTTTCTCTAGACGTGATGCCTTTTATCGCCATATTATGCCACTTCTATGTTACTATGTCCAATCGTGATTAGGTATTTTTTTTCTCCACCATGCCTAGTGGAGATCTGTGATGGCCTTCCTACTTCTACCATGTATTGGAAAGAAGAGTTATTCTTCGTCCATGCCTCCGCTTTTTTTTAAACTATGGTATATGGTGCTACTGCTGACAGGGCTGTTGGTCCTTCTCCTGATTTATCCCTTGAAGAACAAAGAGTTGTTGATCTTTTATCAATGAACTTTTTCAAATGCACCGATCTTGAAGAATTAATGTTAGCATGACGGGGATAAGCTCTTGATGGAGCAAATTAGGGAAAAAGTCAGTGGGAACCATAGTGGGTCGAGAAGTCACTTTACTGGAGCGATTGCATCGCAAGCATTTGGCGAATTCTACTTTGGTTACCGAGGAGGTTACTATTCCCAATTCTCTTTCTCGATCAAAGTCCAATATGGATTCTACTGTCAATCCTTCTGGCCAGGATACTACTGTGTCTGTAATACCTTCCCTTTTCCAAGAAAATTATGAAGACGGAGCATGATAGCGGGAATCCTCTGTCTTCTTCAACTAGGGAAGCGTTAAGGGCTCAATCTTCCAAAAGGAAAGCTAGGACAGAGAAAACCCTTTCCTTGGAAGGATTAATGAATCTTCCTAACAATGTAATCGATCTGTCCTCCCCTAAACAAAAAAGAACCACTCGTGGTGGTGAAGCGAAAAACCGTGGTTTACTACTATCTGGTAGTCAAATTTCCTCTAAGTCTATTGATCTAGAGTCTTCCTTGGAACCACCTGCAACATGTACTCCTCATGAGTGTCTGGTAATTATTGATCCTGGATTGAAACATGCTGAAGAAAATCTTCCTTCTCCTGACGCTGAAGCTCCAGGTTCTGGGATCCATCTCCATCCTACTTTAAATGTCTTAACTATTCCTAACTCTGTCGATCCATTGTCAAAAGATTAGACTCCTTCCACTTTGTCCACTACTGCTGTCTTCTAGCAAAAACTTTTTGGAGCTAGGTTTGGACTTTTTCAAGCATTCAACATTGAATCTACAACTATCACTTTGGACCCTCTTCATACTGGTTCAAGTGTTCCTGGTAGTTCGAACCTTACTCTTGTGGAAAATTTTGACACCACTCCCTTGTTTGGGGGTGATTCTCACCCGAAATCAGCTGTTGATGTTTCTCAAAGTACTTCAAAACAAATTGGTATGTTGTTCTTTAATTGCCTTTATTCTTTATCCTTTTTTTATGATGATATGTTATTTTGCTTATTTAAGTATTACCTTCTTATGAGAAAGATGCTCCTATGCCTACACTTGTCACACTCGCAACCTCATTGCCCTAGTTTCAACAACCTTTTGCTAGAACCCATGTTTCCAAAGGTCCCAAACTTGCGAGTGTATCAGATGAGGAGAGCCTTTATAGATCGTGTTCATGTTTGATGGAAGGGATGCACTTACTGAATGAACTCTCTGCTCGTACCTGAACACGTTTATATATTCTTACCAACCAACAACTCAAATTTGAAGAAGTATTACAACCTTTAAAGGGTACACGAAGTAGTCATGAACCGTTGGAAGAAGAGGTGAAGAAACTACGAGCAAAGATATTGGGCTTCTCCAAGAGAAACAAGGATCTGGTGAATGACTTAAGTGATAGTCTCCATTACCAATACGAACCAAAAAAGTTGAATCAAGACCTTCAGCTTAGAACTGACGATACCATTGGTCATCGTTCAAACTGAGCAGAGAATTGGAAGAAAAGTCCCAACAATTCGAATCCCGGAAGCTTCAATATACCGAGAAAGTATCCCAACTGGAGATTACTTGTTCAGACAAGGACGTACGCATCAAATTTCTCGGGGAAGATCTTGCAAACTACCAAGCTCTTATTTCTAAGAAAGACACCCAAATCATGTCTTTAGTCGAGCTCCAAAATTTAGCTAAGCATAATGTGCTTCAACATCAAGCGGTATTAAAACTTGGAACTTTGGATTTGCAGTGGGTTATGAAGGAAGGCCTTCATTTTTTTGTCTGAGCCATGTTGAATTCAGCTAATTTTGGGTATGTCAACGCCGCCCTCCAGACTGCAACCATCCGGTTGGGGCTACATCAGGCTTGTGTTGAGATGAAAAATAAGTACCCTAAAGCGTTGTATGGAAAGAATGATATTTATTCCTATCCCGATGCCCAATGTCATATTCTATATCACTTCTCTGACATGGTTACCTACACATATTCATTGTTTGAGCCTTTGGAGGGGGACAAAGTAGACATCAATGTGTTAAAAGAGAGATTGGCAGCTTTGGATCCGCTTTTCAAGTGTGATAATGCGAGTACTAGTGCATGATTTGGCCATGGTTTGTGTTTTTGTGTAGTTATCCATTGGTAGTTTGTAAGTTTCCTATTTTTAAGGTCGAACCACAATGCTATCAAACAATATTTTGCATCCATGTTTATTTAGTTACTCGTTACTCATATATTCTGGCAATCTGTGATATGTTTGTTTGAGCTTTCTTTTCAACAACTTTTTTGGTTTGACTGTTGGTCTTGTGGCTAATTATTGCTGCTAACTTTGGTTGATTTAACATTCCAAGTTGTGCTGATCGTTGATTAAATTGATCATCTCTTGTTGATCTATAGGACTTCAAGTAATGCCAAGCTACGAGTTTTTCAACATAAATTTTTTTTGTGTCAATCCTACTTCTTAGTGAATTATAGCAATTCGTTTTACTCTAAAGTATGAATTTTGATCTTAATGATCTATTTTATTAATAAGCCCTAACCATGTTTTTATAACTTCGAACCATGGTTTCATTTGACATTTTATGGTTTGTGCATCATGATAAGTTGCAATTATATTGAACCATAATCCATAGGAACTTATGGCTCTTGTTAATAAAAAAGTTGAACCATGATTTGGCAGATCATGATGACTTGTAATAATCTTTGAACCATAAGTTGTAAAAACTTATGGTTCATGCTAAATATAAACAATGTCATGATTGGGCAGATCATGGTGACTTGTAATAATCCCAAACCATAAGTTATAAGGACTTATGGTTCATGCTAAATATAAATATAGATTCCGTTGAGATTCAAAATAAAATAGAGATCTTGAGATTCAACCTTAGCCACATATTTCACATGCGCCGCTCTAACCGTCCGGCGTACCGGCGCATCGGGTCAGTTATAATCATAAATGATTATATAACGCCACTTGTTCCTTTCTCCCCCCCACCATCCCCACCACCACAAATTCAACCGCCACCACTACCACCACATCTAACACCAACCAACCCTGCCATTGCCACCTCCGCCACTTATACCACTGCCATGTCTGCCACCACCACCTCTTCTACCACCAACTATCATAATCATATACGATTACTTAATTTGTAAACAAACATATATGTATAATCATTTATGATTACGCATATACGTATAAAGATGTATAATCATATATGATTATACATCTCTGCCATATAATCATTTATGATTAGGCATACCCCACTGCTGCCGGTACGCTGGAGCGTCAGAGCGTCAAATGAGAAATATATGGTTGAGGTTGAATCTCAAGATCTCTATTTTTTTCTAATTCTAGTGAACCGTCTATATATATATATATATATATATATATATATATATATATATATATATATATATATATATGACTAGATTATAATGTAGATGGACAACTATTGTGCGGACATGTGGACAATACTATTCTATGAGAATTACTAAAAGAATAAGTTGTTTAGCAATGTGAATACGTTCAACCTCACACAATTATTGTTATTTCCATGCATTCCCATTAATTCTTATTCATATGCATATACATATCAATAAGTATATGAATCTTGGAACATATGCATATGCATATGCATATACATATACATATGCATATGCACAAGGTAATTAAATATATATGATTATGCTTATGTATATGCATATACATATGCGTAATATGATATATGCATAAGAAATAGCATATGCATATACATATAAATATGTGTATGTATATGCATAACAATACATATGCATAAAAATAAGTATATATATGTGCATATGAATAAGTATATGCATATGCATAATATTCCATATGCATAAAAATAAGTATATGCATATTCATAAGTATATCCATATGTATATGCTTATAAACATAGTATTACATATATATGCATAAAAATAAGTATATCCATATTCATAAGTATATGCATATGCATATGAATAAGTATATATTCATATGCATAAGGATAAGTATATGCCTATGCATATGAATAAGTATATATATATATATATATATATATATATATATAGCATGTCATATGCATACAAATAAGTATATACATATTCGTAAGTATATGTATATGAATATGAATAAGTATATGCATATGCATATGCGTAAGAATAAGTATATGCATATGAATATACATTACATATATATATGTACTTAAATTTTATATGCATATGCATCTTAAGATGCATATGTATATGCACATACATATGAAATGTATATACATGAACATATATACATGTATACGCATATGCATATGCATATTAAGATGTATATGGACATGCATACTGATACATTTTTAAAACATCACCCTGCCTTCTCGTTCTCTTCTTTGTTTCCACTTTTTTTTCTTCTACCAACTGACCCCATCCTTCTTCTCTCTCTGAAATTAAACCTCACCAAATGAATGCCTAGGGAATGAAAAATAGAAATTAATAGTAAGATTATAATAGAAATAAACTCTTGTGGCACACCATTAATATGATTGTAGATTAAGCTCAAATGAAATATCAACAATCACTTTATCTTGGTCTGAGTCTTTAAGCAAACTAACGCCAGGGGTAAAGATGTCATATCCAAAAAAGATGAAAAACCATTTTAATTGTAAACATAGCAGCTCTTAGACAAAGCACCCATAGTAACTTTTATCAAATTCAAGGAATATAAAGTTTCCAATATTTTCCATTCTTCCAAGCTACAGTTCCCGGTACAAAGGGTAATAATGTCACTTTTTTTTTGAAAAATAAAGAAAATAATATGGTTTTATTTTTGTCAACATTGGTAACCAAAGAGAATTATATAAACAAAATTTCATTAACCAAAGAGGAGATCAGGGCCTTCAGTACCATGTAGGGGTAGTTTTGTCAAATCAAAAAAAAAAATATGTTTTATCCTCATATTCACCATCTTTTCAAAGTGCCAATAGAACCGTAAAGTAAAACCGTTTGTAAACTTCCAGCAGTCGATTGTTGCTTTACATCTATGTGTGACCCCCCAATGTAACCATATTACCAATAAGAGGGTAGAGTGTGTTATTTTACCAGACTATATAGACCAAAATCCAAACACTGCAGCAACCATCATCATATTTATACATATAATTTTTTCTTCAATCCGAGATAAGTGAAATAAATGAATATAAAAAGCAAGAAAAATCAATAAATGACACTGAAATGAAAGTAATAAAATATTTTTTGAAAGTACAATGCTACTAAAACTGTAATTTAGGATTTAAAAAAAAAAGAAAAAAAACTCACATCTGATCGGACCTGGTACCGATAGACATGAATAAACTAAAAGATTAAAAAAGAACTTAGTAGACAACAAACCTGTTATTTAATGCATTAAGTTCTAAAAGTGCATGTTAATTCAGATTACATGATCAAATTGATAAAATAAACTTTACACCTAACAAATTGATGCAAGTGATTATTGTTGGTGCTAAGCATTTCAGGTGCCCAAAGGTTCTGTTCCACATCCATAATCACAATGGAACCTGATGGGATTCATGAGACCACTTATAATTCTATCATGAAGTGTGACGTGGATATCAGGAAGGATCTGTATGGTGACATTATTCGATTACATAGATTGAAACTTATTAATTTCAAGTAAACTTTTGAAAAAAATCTTATGCATTTGATTGATGCATTGTTTTTTTTTTCTATTTGTTTCGCATTTATTGAAAATCGACAATTCGTTATAATCATGTGGTTATCATTACAGTAAAAAAAATTGGACATATTTCCCACCAATTTGACATATTTGCCCCTGTAGAGTAACTTGACATATTTCCCATGCACAATCAATTTACCACTTTTCAATCTTTCAAGTTACTTTATTCAACACCACCTCCTAAACAACATTTTATCTATTTATAATCTAAAAAAGTTTTTTTATTTTAAATATGCATTTTGTAATCTGAATCTAATCAGCTGTCACTAACATTTGAAATTTGTTCAAAGGTTTATAAATGGATTAAGATTATAAATTAATATGATTTGTGAAGGAAAATGGATGAAATCAACTTCTTTTACATTTTCTTGATCAAACTAAACCTAATTAGGAGAAACCCATCTTCTAATTAGTATATACATTTAATCATCTTCAACATCTGAATCCAAAAAAGCAACAATTGCTAGAATTCAAAGTGATCTTCTTGTTAATGAAAAAACAAAGCTACAAAAATACTCAAAAGACTCACTTACTGAAAAAAAAAGTGGTGTTTGTTTCAGGCATTTCATCGAGAACTAGATGTGCATCTGTAACAGGCAAGAAAAGGTTCATAAATCCTTTACAACAAATTTCGTTATTTTAGGTGTAGTAACGAAAGGGAAAATAGACAAATCCATTTAGTAGGGGCCAATATAAACCACAAGCTTCTGGAAAACCATGATAAATATTTAAACGGGGAAACATTAAACATGTGTAGATTCATTGGAAAACCCACTGAAGGAAGTTAAATCGAAATCACCACCTGGAATATGTTACTCGGTTGCTTAAGGTTATGAGAATACAGTAGAGTCGGAAACCACATAAAGAAGAAGAAAAAAAATCAAGAAACACTTGGTGTGCAAAGAATCAAAAAACATATGCATTGGATTGATGCATATGTTTTTTTACATGGTTTCTTAATGATTACCTATAGTCGCAAATTGAATGAGATAACCAAGCGATTAAAGCCACAAAATAGCAACACAATTTTACAATTATCTCCATGATATCTCAAATCACATCACTTTATACGCACATCGAATCAATCAAGTTGAAAATGAAGAAATTTACCTGTAAGGAGATGAGGCGCATGTAGACTCAGTTGTGGTGGCCTTGATTGAGCAACAGGAACAATGATTTTGTGTTGTTGCTGCAGAGTTATGTGCTTCTATTGTTGATCAATTGGGGCTAAGTGCATGAAAATGTGTTGTTAGTGGGTTCGTTGGTTTGCTCTCATTATTTGAGTTCGTTGTTGATCTTTCTCTCTCTCTCTCTCTTTGTATATATATATATATATATATATATATATATATATATATATATATATATATATATATATA